AGAGCTGGTTTGAACAATAATTAGAGGGTGGAGAAGGTGGAGCTAATGGTGGTGTTGTTCATACGGATGTTGAAGCTAGTCATCATGCAGGTAGTGCAACTCGAATTAATCAAGAGATGAATAATGCTCAAGTACATGGTAATGTGATTAATGAAGCATAAGCAGATGACAGAAGGTTGATTAATTGTAGGAAACACAAGCTACCCTCTTTTAGTGGAACGCAAGATTCAGTTATAGCAGCTAAAAGGTAAAAATATGTGAAAAAAATAATGATAGTACATAAAGACTAACTGATTTATTTATTATAAAAAAACGAAAAGGACACTTTTTTTTATGTTTCGTCATTCATGTTGTAGAAAAACTCATACAACATATATACTTGCGATCAAGGCCCTTTATAGTTTATTTTAATTTAATTTTTTATATCGATCATAATTACTTTTTTGAGGCGAATTGGCATTCTTGGTATCCATCCTCACAAGCTTCAACTTTTTTTTTTTTGGTAAATAGTTTCAACTTTTTAAGTCAGCTATGAGACTATAATAGGGATAACAATTCTAAAAATTCATTTTAATTTTGGTAAAACATTTATAAAAAAATATAGTTAAGTAATTGTGCGTGGTATTTACCGAAGAAAAAAAAAAGTAATTGTGAATGGTAACATTTGAAACTGCATTCGTTCCAGTTACATATCCACATCCTCTATCCGGAGTATTATCGGAATAAATAAATAAATTAATATATATTTTGGAAAAGTTTTTCCCTACGATAGAAGATAAAGTTATATCATGTAATCTCAAAATTATATTGTTTCGAGGTTTAGGAGAATTAATAAGTGATATTTTAGGAATTTTCTTTTCTTTTGTTATATAAATCTTATCAAAACACACTTCATTAATTTCTTCAACCTCTTATAATGATATAGTTTTAAATTTACTGGAAATAATTTTATCTCCCATGTCAAGATAAATGGTTGGGCTCCATTTTACTGGAAATAATTTTAAATACTTGGGCTCCATTTTACAAAATGGTGGAGAGATTGATGAGGATGTAAATCACAGAATCAGAGCAGGGTGGATGAAATGGCGTAGTGCATCTGCATTTTTGTGTGACCGCAAAATTCCCCTGAAGTTAAAAGGAAAATTCTATAAAACGGCAGTACGACCGACAATGCTATATGGAGCGGAATGCTGGCCAGCACATAGGCAACATGAGCATAAGATGGGAGTAGCAGAGATGAGGATGTTAAGGTGGATGTGTGGGTACACAAGGATGGATAAGATAAGAAATGAAGATATTCAACGAAAGGTCGGAGTAGTACCGGTAGCCGAGAAGATGTGAGAACATAGATTGAGGTGGTTTGGGCACGTGATGAGAAGACCCATGGATGCTCCTGTAAGAACAGAAGTTTGTTACCAAGAGCTAAACACAAAAAGAGGCAGAGGTAGGCCGAAGCTTACTTGGGGGAAAGTAGTAAAACAAGATTTAATTGAGTGGGATATAGATTGGCGGACAGTATGTCTTAGAAAGGAATGGAGAAAAGCTATAAGTATGGTGGAGGGTTAGACCCGCTGTTATTCCTATGTTCTAGATGGTCCTTTTTTAGTCCTTTTCCCCTTCATTTCCCCCACTTCTTCTTGTCCCTTTCTTTTTTACTTTTATTTATTTATATATACATATATTTTTATTTCATTTTATTTTATTTTATTATTTTATTTGTGTATTTTTATTTATTTATTTATTTATTTATTTTTTTTATTTTTTATTTTTTTACTTTTTTTCAACCGTTTTGTATCTTTCATGTGGGTTCATCTACCACCGACCCCAATTAATTTGGGATAAAGGTGTTGTTGATGTTGATGTTGATGTTGATGTTGTCAAGATAAATGGTAAACCCTATATATATATATATATATATATATATATATATATATATATATATATATATATATATATATATATGAGGTAGGATTCTTTGACACCGGTGTCAAACTTTGAAATTTGACATTAAATCATAACCGTTGATTTTCGCCAATCAAGGGTTATCATTTATTGAAAATTAGTAGTTAAATAATAAGTTTGATTCTCAATAAATGATAACCGTTGATTGATAGAAATCAACGGTTAGGATTTGGTGTCAAATTTTAAAGTTTGACACCGGTGTCAAAGGATCATATCCTTATATATATATATATATATATATATATGTATGTATGTATGTATGTATGTATGTATGTATGTATCAGAGAAACATTTTTCCTTTTAAAGGATATAACATTGTGCAATTTTAGATCCTAATAATTCATTTTTGTCAATCAACTACTTTTACCACTCTAACATTGTGCCATTTTATCTTAATGTCTTTCTTGTTGAGCTACTAGAGAGAATGCTCGACTAATGTGAGGGAGAGGGTCCAGCATCATGATTTGAGACCTGACATGAGAATATTGCTCATTCAATCCCTTTATAAACTTCACCGTTTGATCTTAATCTCGATGTCTTCTTATCTATTCAAGAAGACCACAATTACAAAGGACATTATAGCGACATATAGGCAAGGGACGAAGATTCTCAAATTCATCGCATAGAGTTTTCAACTCAGTAAAGTAATTGGTGATGTTCATTTCTCCCCGTTGAAGCTTGTTCATATATCCCCGGATATCAGAAAGCCTGAAGATATCAGATTGGCTGAAATAATTTCTCAGATCAGTCCAAACATCTAATGCACAATCCATTCAAAGAATGGATTTCTTGATTGATTTATTGATGGTTCTGTGAATCCACGCAAGAACCATAGTATTACAGTGTTGCCATGCTGCAAAAAGGGGATCATCATTAGCTGGTGGAACAATGGTGCCGTCAACAAATCCAAGCTTGTTCTTGAATAGTAACACCATGCTGATTGACCTCGCCAAGGTATGGTAGTTCCTTCCATCGAGTGAAGGTGTGAAGAGAATGATTGACGGATTCTCGTTTGGATGTAAAAATATAGGGTAACCAAGATTGGTCATGTATTTTGGAATGGGATTCCCCATTGTTGATGCAAGAAAGAACAATTAGCAAAAATGAGAGTTGCAGCGGAAGAATGGATATCAGAGGCTAAAGCTCTGATACCATATTACAAACAGGTAATCAGAAAGAAAGAAAGAACTGTGATCTCCATATTCTTGAACGAGAGAGAAAAATGAATCTTGTGTATTTCTGATATTAGTTCATACTTATATACAAGCTAACATTAAGTAACTAAAACGAAACTTATTAACAGAATCAATAACTACTATAACTGTCTAACTATCGATTGCTTCTTCACGTGGGTTTAGATGAAGTGGCTCATTTGCTATCTTTTGCTTCTTTGGTATGTAACTCCAATAATAATATTGTGCCATTTTAGATCCTAATCGTTAATTGTTGTCAATCAAGATTATAATTTATTAGGTCAAACTTATTAATTAATTAATAATAAGTTTGACCCAATAAATTATAACCGTTGATTGACGAAAATCAACAAATATGATGTAAAATGACACAACATTATATCCTTTAAAAGGATAAATGTTTTTTCACACACACACACATATATATATAGTTGATAACGGAATATTTCTACAATAGAATTATATTATAGTTAGAGGGTGGATCCACTTACCACCACTAAAGTATACCACATTTACAATCAATATGATCATCGTTGGATTAAAATTAAATCCAATGGCTCACAATAAATTCTTCTAATCCTAATTTTTTATCTTTCATTTTCTCACATCTTCTCTCCTCTTCTCACAATTCTCTCTAGCTCCTCCGTATTTGATCTTTTTTTTTCTAGGATTCAGAACAAACATTGAACAAGTGAAACTAAACTAGAAACTTGGATTGGGTAATAAAAACAAAAATCACACGTGAGTATTTTACTTCGATTTAAAGCTGATTTTATTATTATTATAATTAGGTGGTGTACTCATAATTCATCGTATTGAAAATTTCTAACCGAACTGTACAAAGGAACATGATTCAGAAACTTGACCATGAAATCCAAAAACCATGTAATTAATTATCACCAATTCCCCGAGGAAAAAATAGGAGCAATAGTGGCTTACTGTGATCACAGGAACACAGTGGCTTAGTATGGCATCAAAGAGGCGATTCGAGGATGGGGTATCTCCAGCAATGTTCAAGCAGAATTTGGACCAGGTCATTCCCTTGCTTGCGTGATTATAAGGATTTATTGTGAGTCATTGAATTTAAAATTTTAATCCAACGATGATCAAATTGGTTGTAAAAGTGATATATTTTAGTGGTGGTAAATGAATCCTCCCTCTTATAGTTATAGAACTTTTTTGGTTTACGAAATTATTTTTTATTTTTCCAAATATTCTTAATTAAATTTTTTTAAAATAATTTTTATTTTAAAATTTTCTTATATTAAAAATCCACTTGTAGAAAACAAAAATAATGAAAACAATTACGACCTCAAAATTTAAATTTTCAGTGAGTACATACTAATTAATGCGTGAACTATTGAGTCAACCCTCCTCGACTTAAATAAGCTAACTAATGAAGGGTGGAATTGAATAGATCATAATTTTTGCGACCTTACATTAGTTCATTGGCTCTGCAGGAGCTGCAATAAACTCATATATATATAGTTGCTACCTTCCTAGTAGGAGTCACAAATCACTTATTCATCAAATGCAAATGACATATAATTTATTGAAGGTCAAACTGATCGTCCTGTGAAAGACTTGGTAATGTGAAACCTCTAAGTAGAATCTGTAAATTATGTGTTTTATGTTTACAATAATAAAAACTCAAGCACATTTTATTGATGGCTGTGAAAAATATATTAAATTTTGCATCCTCTGTAACGACCATCATTTCAAGTTTTTCACAGCTTTAATTTCTATAAATAAGCCAAAGATTCGTGGGGTGAATAAGCCAAGCAAGAATTGTGGTATACCTGCATATATTGCATAGCATATTCATCAGGCAAAGCAAAATCCCACATGGAAACTCACGTAATCTTCAGTTCAAAAGCCGATGAAGACTCTTGGTTCATCCAACTCGATCATTTGGTGAGTGAAACCCACCGACAACCCCTGACGCATATGGGCGGTTACATTCGCCATGTCCCCAAATCTTTGAGTTTTGACAAGCCAGAAGCCTTTACCCCACAACTTATAGCAATTGGTCCATATAACCATTTTCTTCCAGAGCTCTATCCCATGGAAAGGTTCAAAATTCTTTCAGCCAAAAAGGTCCTCAACCACTTCAATAAACATGACCTCAAACAATTAGTTGAGAAACTCTACAACACAGGGCCATCCATCCGTGCTTATTACAACAAGTCCTTGGACCTTAAAGACCATAACTTGTTGTACACAATGGTTATTGACGGTTTGTTCTTACTCAATTTATTCAACATCTGTTACGATGATGATGTTTCTTTTTTAAGTGAACTAGATCTTTTTCTTGAGATAAGCCGCTCGAAGCACTCCAAAGATGCAATCATAAGAGACGTGCTCATGGTCGAGAACCAAATTCCAACCTTCATATTGGGGAGAATCTTAACCTTATTGATTGAAAGCTCCGAACATGATGATGACTCAGTTGATGATAAAACCAATGGTCAGATGCACTTGTCGATTGAAAGCTTCAAACCTGATGATCCAGTTCATGAAATATTGGGTTCGGTGCTCTTGTCATTCTGTGAGAAACACTGTCCACTCAAGTTAACTCAAACATGGTCACAAGCTCTCACTGATCAGCGTCATCATCTCTTGGATCTCATGTATCATTTAGTGGTCCCTGAAAATGAAAAGTCAGAAACAGCAGCAACATCTGAAAGAGAAGGTATGTTTAATGCCTCTGCCACTGATGCTCCTAAATCCAAGAGAAGTTCAATATCTGCAGGCATAGTCACATTCAAAAATGCAGTTAACGTTCTATTAACACGGACAGTAGACTCTCTCAAAAAGCTGAAGAATTTGAAACTTCGTCTGTTGCGAGCCTTTAAATCATGCATAGTTGGAACACTCTGTATGCTTGACCTGTTTCAATGTGTTTCATCAGAAACTTTCACTTTTGAAACAGATCAAGCTGAAGCTGAAGCTGATTTGGTGGTCATTCCTTCTGTGTGTGAGCTTCATTCATTTGGGATCCGTTTTAAACCCACGAATGGTGGCATCATGGCAATTAAATTCGACGAGAGGAAGCGCATATTTTACCTCCCTGTGATCAAATTGGATGTTAACTCTGAAGTCATAATGAGAAACCTTGTGGCTTACGAGGCATTGACTAAACCTGATCTTCTCATCTTCACAAGGTACATAGAATTAATGCAAGCAATGATAGACACTGTGGAAGATGTTAAGATGCTTAAGGATGCAGCTATCATAGAGTCAACAAGCTCAATCAATAAGGAAGAAACTGTGAAACTTTTCAACGGGATGAGGAAATCCATTGGACCCACCAAGACAGAGAAGTTGGATAAGACCATTAAGAAAGTTAACAAGCGCTTCCATTACAATAAGAAGTACAGCTTCACCAAATTTGTGTATACTTCATGGAAGTTCTTCACACTTCTTGGCACCTTTGTGCTGCTGGTCACGACGGCTCTTCAAACCTTTTGCACCGTTTATGATTGTGCTGGTCATTTTAGATACAAATCAACAAACTCTTTCAGTTAAAGATATGAATCAAATCAGTGGTGGAGGATTCGTTGACCCAAATATTGCTTCCAATCTTGTCTCAAATCTAAAAAAAGGAAACATATCATTATATTTCCATGATTATAGATTGAACAATCTGGCCTATTCATTGTACCAGTTATTATTCAAAATAAATGGAACCTTCCCCTAACAGATTGATTATTAATGAATAGGCGGGGTGAAAGATAGCGTGAATGTAAGTCAGTGTTTGAAACATAACAATCTCCTCTTTCATCGTTTGTTTTCATGTTTTTACTATTACTTACTATCTAAATTTCCTCTTAGGAAACAAAGTTTCTATCTCTTTGTTCATTAATGATAATTGGAGTCCACCTATTTAATGCATGTGAAGAGAGACATCATATGAAATTTTAACATAAAAGAATCCATTCCCATGATTGTGTGCTATATTTTTGTGTTTGTTGTGATCTGTGTTTCAATTGATAGTTCCAAGATGCTACCTTGGGTCTACTCATTTTCTTCCATTTTTTTTATTTTATTTTTATAAAAATGGAGGGCCTAGCCCAGAAAAACTACACAATTAGATGCTGCATGTCTAAACATACTTGCTCCATCAACAATTTGGAGCTAAGAGCATTCCAAAAAGGCAAAATATTAACAGGGGGAGAGGAATATGTCATCAACTCTTCACCCTTGAGACTAAATCCTGTTTTAGCTAAGCTATTTGCACACTCATTAAGATCTCTAGGTGCCCCGATTACAGACAGCTGAACAAGGTGACTATCAAGAACAAGTATCCCCTCTCTCGTATTGATGATCTGTTGGATCAACTTAGGGGTGCGTGCGTGTATTCCAAGATTGATCTTCGGTCCAGATACTATCTGTAACACCCCGTGTATACCCGGTTTGTCAACATGTCATCGTATTAAGCCACGCTTAATTAAATATTGCGGAATATCTTTTTCTTTTCAATTATGACGTCATTATCATTAACCAAATTGATTATTAAATTCCTTTACAAAAATATTGCATGTATGTAATTGCAAAAGCACAGCTAACTGGAATACCTCAATATATAAATAAGTGTGAGTATCTAAGTCACGGAACTACAACACGTAGACCGGACATAATCTTGATACAATTATACAACTCGAACCTAAAAGCATAAAGTCAAGTCAAAGTGGCATGGACAATCACCATGCTCACCAAATAAACAACATAATCAACAGAGTCTCAACAATAACCACATAATCATAAAGATAGCAGAAAACATGCCAACATCCAAATATAACAGTATAAGCAGCCATATCTAACTCAGCTCCGGTCTCCTGCCGCTAGAAGTCTCAACCACTGGGTTACCTGAACCTGAAATAAGCGCTCCAAACGTGGGGTGAGATCTCTAAAGATAAATCTCAGTAAGGCGAGGGGTCCTCAAGGATCTTCCACCCCAAGCTCACTTACATGTGCAATATAAGTTCTAAAACAGTCCAACAATATAAGTTCCAAAACCAGTACAATGCAGCAAATAATCATGTCATGTGTGTCAATACTATTCTACTGGCCAGAGAAATGCAGGACTTATATACGTCTATTACCCACATTAGTGCAAGACGCCACTTGCACCCACCCACAGTGTCACCCTATTGTATGACGCCACATACTCAGACTTTACCGTCTAAGTGGAACAACACATACATATTATAAGTAATTGTACATAAAGCTCAACAGCATTTTCAATTATCAAAGCATGTAAACACATCATGCACATAAACCATTCCCCCATGGGGTATGGTGGAACCACACAATGGCTAAACCGAGGACACGAAAGCTTACCTTGCAAGCTAACTATGCAAGCCAAGAGTTCACACAAGCTCAAGGCCCACAAACAGCACAATCACAATTTGTTCATACCATAATTAATCATTAATAATCATAGCTCAGAATACATTAAGTGATTAAGTTTCTCTAACTCATTTTAAGTCATTTTTCTCTGTTTCTGCAGGAGGTATTTGAATACTCCTCGATGAGTATTCGAATACTCCTTGCTTGTCTCCAGAAAGTATCTGAATACTTTCACTAAAGTATTCGAATACCACACAGTATCCAAATACTTTACCCCCCAGTATCCGAATACCACAGTATCCAAATACCAAAACTCACTGTATTCGAATACTATCCAGTATTCGAATACTTCTTCAAAGGTATCCGAATACTTTTCTTCCCAGAAACGTATCCCAATACTCCTGCAAGGAGTATCCAATTACCAGAGGACAAGCTTTCGAATACTACCCGAAAAGTATTCGAATACTTATCCCTCATAATGCAGAAAAACGAACTGTCATCTGCATAATCCCATTTTTAGGGATCCAAACGTGATTTGTAGTCCAATGACTCAATAAACAGATGTTCATTAACATGTTAAGACCTCAAAAACACATTCATTTACCCAAATGGTTAAAGTTTCTCTTTTCATGCACTTATTATAATTTTCCAGGATACTTCATCAGTACGCGCTTATACCGTTGAGCAGAAACGGTATCTGCACTTTTCGTCAGAAAAGCGACTTTCAGCATTATTAATCACTTACCATAATTATTTAAGCCTTCTCATAATTATTAGGGTCAATTATGGAATTGTTTCCTAATTCTCATATTCATTTAATTAATGTCCTTAATTAACGGTGCTGGTTCTTACATTCACCCCACCTTTTAAGGATTTTGTCCTCAAAATCAGAAATATACCTGTCTCGGAAGTCGGGATAGTGCCGGAGAAGCTCGTCATCTCGCTCCCAAGTACACTCCTCAGGAGTTCTTCCTGTCCATTGCACCTTGACCATCGAAATGATCTTGCTCCTTAGCTTTTCCTCGCCACGATCGAGAATCTTGAGTGGTCTGACGGAAGTTTTCAAGTTCTCCCGAATTTCCACATCATCCGATTGCACCACGTGCGAGGGATCCGCTACATACTTCCGAAGCTGAGACACGTGAAACACGTCGTGGATGTTGGCCAAGTTCTGAGGCAAGGAAGCCAGTAGGCAACAGGTCCTACTCTACCAAGGATCGGGTATGGCCCAATGAATCCGGGCTCAGCTTCCTCACTCCGAGTGCACGACCAACACCGGTGACAGGTGAAAGTCTCACAAACACGTGCTCACCTTCACTGAACTCCAGTGGACAATGCTTGACATCGTAGTAGCTCTTCTGGAAATTCTGCGCCTACTTCAGCTTTTCTCTGATCATCTGGATCTGCTGGGTGGAATCTTGGACAAAGTCAAGCTAAACAACTCACGATCTCCTACCTCAGACCAGCATGTAGGAGTCCGACACCTCCTACCATACAATGCCTCGTAGGGTGCCATGCCCAGGCTAGCATGGAAACTGTTGTTATACGAAAAATCCACCAATGGCAGCTACCTATCCCATGTTGAACCCTACTCCAAAGTGCAAGCCCTCAACATGTCCTCCAAGGTCTGGATGGTCTGCTCAGTCTGTCCGTCAGTCTGAGGGTTATAGGCTGTACTCAATCTCAACTGAGTACCAAAAGCTCCCTGCAGCGCCTCCCAGAACCGAGATGTGAACTTCGGGTCCCTATCACTGATGATACTCTCGGGCACCCCGTGAAGCCTCACAATCTCGAGAACATACAGTCTGGCCAACTGCTCAGTAGTGAAGCTCACCTTCACTGGAAGAAAATGGGCAGACTTCGTCAGTGTGTCCACAATGACCCAGATAGAGTCGCAGCCAACCTGAGTCTTCGGCAAACCCCACCACGAAGTCCTTGGAAATGCTCTCCCATTTCCATTCCGGAATCTATAGAGGTTGAAGCTTACCAAACGGCTTCTGGTGTTCTATCTTCACCTTCTGGAAAATCAAACACTTGGAGACATACACAACTATGTCCTTCTTCATGCCCAGCCACCAGAAATTTCTCTTCAAGTCCTGATACATCTTTGTAGCACCAGGGTGAACCGTGAACTGGACCTTATGGGCCTCAGCCATAACTGCTTCGGTCAAAGGACCTCGAGGAACTGCAATCCTCATCTGGAACAACAAAAGTCCATCCTCATTCCAAGACACACCGTCTTGGTTCTTCACGTAATCCAGGAACTCTCTCTGCACTTACGCATCTTGGATCTTCTCCATAAGCTCATTCTTGACTCTCACAGTCTCCATCTCGAGAAGTACACCCCCAAATAAGGAAGTCACCGATAGATCTCGAAACTTCTCAATAACATCAAAGTATCCTATCGACAAGCTGGATAGACTCACGGATTTCTGACTCAGAGCATCAGCTACCACATTGGCCTTGCCCGTGTGGTACTTCAATTCAAAGTCGTAGTCCTTCAGAAACTCCATCCATCTCTTTTGCCCCATGCTCCTCCTCCTTCTTGGAGTAAATAAAGATATCGTCAATGAAGACGATCACAAACTTATCCAGGTACGGCTAGAAAATCATGTTCATGTAATCCATGAACACTACGGGTGCATTCGTGAGTCCAAAAGGAATCATTAAATACTCAAAGTGATCATATCTCGAACGAAACGCGGTCTTAGGGACATCCTCCGGCTTCACCCGTATCTGATGGTATCCAGATCGAAGATCAATCTTCGAATACACACAAGCACCCCTGAGCTGATCCAACAAATCATCAATACGCGGGAGGGGATACTTGTTCTTGATTGTCACCTTGTTCAGTTGCCTGTAGTCGATGACAATCTCATCGTCCCATCTTTCTTCTTCACAAAGATGACTGGTGCTCCCTAAGGAGACACACTCGGTCGGATGAAATCTTTCACTGAAAGATCCTCAATGTGCTTCTTCAGCTCCGCCAACTCTGGTGGCGACATCCGGTATGGAGCTAAAGAAATAGGCCCCACACCAGGCAACAGATCTATAGAGAACTCTATCTCCCTCTGCGACGGAAACTAAGGAATCTCCTCAGGAAAAACTTTGAGGAATTCCCTCACCACAGGAATGCCAGTGATATCCTCCTGTGCCCCACTCACCAAACCTCCCAA